AATAATAATAAAAATAATAGTAATAACAACAATATCAATAGAAGAGGCGATAACTATAATAGAATAAGAAATTATAATAATCGTTTATTATATGACTAAATTCTCAATAAAAAATTTTGAAAAAAGTTAACAACCTTAAAAAAATAATTTTGAATCGTTAACGTTCCTTTCCGATGTACAATGTACTTTAGTAGAAAAATAATTGGATATTTAATAGTCTTCTTTACCAGTAAAACCATATACAAACTGAGAAACGAGCATGTTTTTTGTTTTTAAGGCTTGATTTTTTTAGCTTATTAAGAAATATTATCTTTTAAGTTCTGCTTGATTTTACTTAACCCAAAATCTTCTTTTAGAGATAATACAGATAGATTAGAAAAAGATTACTTAAATGAAGAGTAGGTAGAGATAGAGACGAAGAGGGAGCAGTGGGAGAGCGTAGAGAAGCTTATGCGAATAGGATGGAGTGGGGTGGAGCTTGCTCAAATATTGTTTTATCAAAAATGACGTGAATATAAGCATATAACTATGTGACTCAAGGGGAAGCTGAGAGGGTACTTTGGGAAAGCTACGGAGAATTGGTTGAGAGTGGTGAGATGTTGGGAGCGCGAGGAAAGCTGAGACTGACTTTTGTCATTACAACTGTATAATACAGGAATATGCATGTAGAAGGATATCTACAAAAAATAGTATGGTTTGAGTATGTCGCTTTGCAACAAAAATTCTTTGGGGGTGCAACTTGAAGAGTAGGGTTAATTCAATCACAATATTATGTTCTATAAGACGAACATTTTAGACATTAATTTTAAGACTTTTTTGTTGTAATTAACATGTTTACATTAAATCTGTGCATATCATATACATAGATTTAAATGAGCCTGATATTTTAAAAGTGTTTCTTAAAAAAGTTTTTAAGGAACTTGGGGGACAAATACCAAATATTTTTTATGGATTTTCTCATATCTGAGAGCATACTACCAGTGTTTGAAGAATTTTCTGCTTATATTTTATGCGTCTTCACAAGTGGAAGCATTAACAATGCCTATTAAATCAGCCACTTGGGTCAGTATTTTATCTTTATCATGTTTATTTTCAACGTTACATAAATTAGTGTGTTTTATAAGTTTCTTTCGAACGCAAAGTCAAGTTGTAAGGTTTCAAAACTATTGTTTCAAATTAAAAATTTCAACGGTTTCTGCTCCCGAGAAATTTTCACTGAACACACCACTTATTTTAAAGCGTTGGCACAAAAAATCTACATAGCGGAACACCATGTGACGATTCTGCAATGCCTACGTCACACAAAAAATTTACAGTGATTTTTTTGATAAAACTGTCGTTACAAAGGACCGTAAGATTTCCCATGTCACATATAATATAAAGCACTGTGGCGAAAGGGTAATAGAGGGCAGAGGGAAGCTTGGTGAGACAATTGCATTTTTTTTCGGTCCCACTCTGCACCATCCTGTAGCCGCCATTTTATTTAAAATATAAAAGCAACAAATCGTTTGATACACTTAAAGGTTCTGTTATGATGTGTTATAAGTTTCGTAATGATTAGTCTAAGATTTTTTTGAAAAAAATATTTTTAAATGCTTTTTTTTTAATTTCTCTACTTGTATTCTCCTTCCTAAAGGGCACTGTAATAATTATTATATTTATACATATATTTAATTATGTGTTTATTCATCAGTTATCCATTTATTTGTTCTGTCTTTTAGAGTCATTTGAGGAACATAAAGAACAGCTGAAGCAAAAGTTGCATAAGGTGTTAAATGTTAGAGCTAATCAAGTTGTTCAGGGTCACGGAACGACAAATACAGGGAACCTTGCTCGCAGTTGTTTCAATGATCCTCAGATATTTGCTGAGGTTCTAGGTATATATGAAACATTAGTCAACAATATCGCGATGGTCCTTACTATTTTGAAAAGTAAAAGAACATTAAAGACAGATGAATTCGAGTCATTCTGCAGACAAACTCATGCACTTAATTATCAATTGTACCCATGGTCTAAACTAAATCCAACCGTTCACAAACTTTTGATGCATAGTGGCGAGATAGCAAGAAAATTTGACATGCCAATGGCCTTTTACTCAGAAGACGCTTGTGAGTCATGGCAT